AGAGGACGCCATGCACACCTTAGTCCGTACATCTAAGTATAAATTTGTTGAAAGTTTTTTTTTTAGGTCATTCAAGGTGCAATTTCGTTTCAGCAACGAGATGAAAAAGTGTTTGGATTAGCTTATTGACTCGGTGCAATTCGAGTTGCGCAAAAGAACTTCTAATGAAAACCCTGAACACAATTTCCAAGGGTACTATGATACTAGCATAAAACGTTGTGTATTTTTGGATGAAATAAATAATGAAGAAGATATTGCGATTCTGAAATTTCGAAATTAAGAAGATTAATTCTGACTAGTGAGAAGCTTATGATACCCGTGGTGGGTGTGGGAGGCTCTGGCAAGACAACTCTAGTGAAAAGAGTTTACAACCTTTCCACAACCGTGCTTGGGTTTATGTTATCTCCAGATTTTAAAGAAAAAAATCTTTTAGTTCAAATATAGAATTTAGCAGTGCTGCATGGTTAGGAGGATACAAAGGAAAAGAAAAAAAGGAGAAGAAAGAGAGGTTGGTGATGATAGCAGAAAAATGAAACAAGCAGCTGGTGGAATGAGTGAGCAAACTCAGCATGGAGCTGATGCAACAGGGGAAGAAAATCACTCAGCTTCCTTAGATGTACCCCATCCTTCAAATATTATGGCTTTGGCCTATCATGGCCTACCTTCTCCTCTAAGGCCATGTCTCATATATTTATGTCTTTTCCCCAGATCATATGAAATCCCATTAGAAGGTTACTTCTACTATGGATTGCTGAGGGATTGATGAAAGAATCGTGGGAAAAACCTGAACATCTAACGGAAAATTGTCTTAAAGAGTTGAGGGGTAGGAACTTGATCGAGGTAGCAAGTTGGAGGTTATATGGAAGCCCCTAAACATGTTTTATGCTAAGTATTGTATACGATACTTGTTAGAAATCAACCTTAATACTAATAAACAACCTTTTATCGTGATTCACTTGTTCGAGATTAAACAAGTTACGTTCATATTGAGCTTTTAATGAATCACATCGCAAACACCAAAAGAATCACTCTCAAGCACCTGTTCCTGCTTCTCTACCTTTGAAAGAAACACAACTTCCAATCGCATTTACAATAAGAGATGAAATAGAATCAAGAACCTAGCAGAGAGAATACAATCGCGAAAATACACAAAAGAGCAACTGTGCAAACTTGGGCGATTAAGCTTCTTTTATACCGTTGACCATCTGAGTGTTTTCAGCCGTTGGATTAGTCACAAATCAAGGGCCAAGATTGCAAAGGATTTAATAACCAAAACTGCAATTACAAATCAAACCTAGGTCTTCTGCAAATCTTCTCTTCTCAATTAAGTCGGTCTTCTTCAAATCTCCTCTCAATTAAGGTTTTCGCAATCTTCACTCAAATTTCCTCCAAATCTGATGGCTCGTTACCTCTTTCTCTCTTTAAACAAATGCATCTCCACCGTCCATATCCACCCACGCCACAAAAGCATCACCTCCTTCACCTCAACCCATCGTCCCGCCTCAATATCTCTCCGCAATCAATCCAACCAACCCGACCTCTCCGACCTTTCCACTTCTTCTGACTCCACCACCGACTCTTTGCTCTCCAATCTCGAGGACGCCAGCCACCTTCTCAAACCCAACTAACAAACAAACCCTAGAAACAGCCATCAGCCATGGCCACCACCACCACTTCTACCTCCTTGCCATCAGAAGGAGACGCTCTTTTCACCTTTAGAAAAGCTTATCAGATCCAGATAACGTCGTTCAAAGTTGGGATCCCACGCTTGTTAAGCCCTGCACTTGGTTCCACATCACTTGCAATCAAGACAGTCCATTTTTGGTAAGGTGGGTTTTTAATTTCTGATTTTAATGATGCTTAAATTGCTGATTAATGGGCTTCAACTGAGGCAATTTCCATTTCAATTACATATTACTGATGAGCGTAGATAAAGTTATGCAGGGATTTATGTTTAATTCAAAGGTCTGTCTGGAACATCTAGTTCGGCGGTAATATACGCTCACCCATGTCTGCGTTATGGCAGTCGAAGCTTGTAGCAAACTGAAGCCACAGATTGAGGAGCTGGAGAATATTCTGCTCGCCCAAAGGTTTTTGGCGAGAAAGAGAACTGAATCAGAGAATAGATTGGATGGCACATACAATTACAAGAAAATCGTTCATTATTTTTGATAAGAATCTCATTTTTATTTTCCGGGTAAACTCACTTGTTTAGCTCTCGTTTTCTATCTACAATAATCTCTAGAACACATAACCAAGAACCATAATTTTATAATTTTTGGTGGATTTGGCCCATAGATTTATGTGGTTTCTGTCTCATTTCGATTTTTCTTTTGCTGTGCTCCTAGTTTGTGTTGCTTTGTGACAGCTGCTTAGTTCTGATCTCTGGTGCTGCTTTGGTAGTGGTTTTGGTGCTGCGGGTTTTTTTTGTGTTGGCTGCTGGGTTCTTTGCTTATCCTTTGTGTAGTTGCTGCCGGTGTTTTTTTTTCCTGGTTTTATTTGCTTTGTTTTGCTCGTTTTGCTCCCCTGCTTTTGATATGCTTTGGTTGAGTTACTTGTAAAGGTTGAGTCTGGTACAATGAGGATGGGAGTACTTGGTACAGAGAAAGGGGGAAGGACTTGGCGAGACTGGATTTCACAAAGAACAGTCTTCAGTCTTTGCGATTGAAATCAGTGGATGACAATAATAAACTTCACAGCTCCATTTCCATCCATGTGAGTCACAATGCTGTTTAAACTTGTATTTGATCAGAATGTCATCAATCGATCTTGACATAGAAAACTTTACCAAAATCTCAGAGTCCTACATTGTCGGTCGGTCTCATGTATGCAGAAGACCCAATGCAGACACTAGAAGGGCTGGAAGTCTAGGGCTGTTCAAATCCGGTATCCTAGCCGAATGGCCTTATTTATGATCCGATCCGGATTTTCGGATCAGAATATACCTGATCCGAATCCGATCCGAAATATGTGGATATCCAGTTTTTTCGATATCCGATTTTTGGATCAGACAACTGGATATCCGAATCTATCCGAATTTTAGAAAAATTCTTATTAAAAATTTGTAAATCAAATAATTCTTCTAATAAAATTTGAAATTACAATGCACGATTATCAACAAATTAATCCACATTTGTTTATGCCAACTTAACACAGAATCTATTACCCAAATTACAATTACAAATTTAATAAAAAGACAAACAAAAAGCCAATTTTAATACTAATTATTTTTTTATCTTCATGCCAACTTCATCACACCGACTTTCACTCTGTTAGGGTATACATTTTCAGGAGTAGGATTCACATGTCACTTGTCCATCGGTTGTGTCGACGTATGAACGGCATTTGAAGTTCCACAAGTATACTATTATTTTCAACCGTAGATGACATCTATATATCAATACAACAAGAATATATCAATTAAACACTTTGAAATAAAAATCCACAAGGTAATCCCATTTTATTTTTAAGTGATACTTACATGATTTAGATGAATCTTCTAAGATTATCATTATGATATCAATAAATTGAATGCACCATAAAGATATAATTAGCACATTCTCAAATTAGTATACACAAAATAAATGTATATTAGGGAAAGGTTGTGTATGATTAATCTTCTAAGATTATCATTCTGATATCAATAAATTGAATGCACCTTAAAGATATAAATGTATATTAGGGTAATGTATATAAATTAAAATTGTATGGTTATTTGAAATTTGGAAGGGGTGTGCATAAAAATCAAAACGGTATAGTTTTAGTAAAATCCGGATCGGATACGGATATCCGCTTTTTTAGCAATCCCGATCCGGTATCCGATCCGAATATTCGGATTTTCTAAAATTGTGATCCGTATCCGATCCGAATTTTTGGATATCCGGTTTTTTCGGATAGGAGCGGAGCGGATTCGGATCGGATATCGGATTTTTTTGAACAGCCCTAGCTGGAACACCTAAAAGTGCTCAGGCTTTTCGCTAATTCCTACTCGGGGAAAAAGATGCATTGTCGTATTGGCAGCCGTATATTTCCCCAACTCCAGGTATTGAAGTTATGGATGCTAACAGAGTTGATAGAATGGACTATCGACAAAGGAGCCAAGCCTGCCCTATGAGATTTAGAGATTAGATGCTGCAAACAACTGGAGAAGTCAATTGGGTTGGAGAATATGACAACTTCTCTAAAGGAATTGATCTTAACTAGTACGAACAAGGATTTTGAAGATGGAATTAAAAGAAGCGTTGGCGAAAACGTAGTCGTTATTGAAAATGACTGGAACTTTCAACCTCTATTTGTGAGTAGTTTTCATCTTTTAAAGTTTATTGTCTTGTTCGTCTGACATTGTTCATATTATTGACTTTATCTTCTGTTTTCATCTTTTAAAGTTTATTCTTCTTCATCTGAAACCCGATGTGAGTTTCTGGGTTTCTTGTTCCCATCTCAGGATTAAACAATCACCGATGCAAGGAGTCTCTGTCGAAATGCAATGCTGTTTGAAGAATTCCATTAGATAAATTTCTTGACTAATTATACAAGTGTAAGTTTATAACTGCGTAAGCCAGATTTTTTCAAATTAAATTCTTAATTATTGATTATTAACCTTCATCTAAATCCTGTAATTATAATCAAGAGGATTGGGATAAGGATTTACACAGTGGAATCTAGGGTTTCTTCAATAAAATTATATTTCAAAGAGGATCCAGGAAATTAATTAATATAATAATTTGAGTAAATTAAACATGTTAGAAAGAGGATGAACAATTGATTTGGTATATTCCATAGCGAGATTAGATGTATAGTCAATTCAATTTAAACACATGATTTCAACGCCAAAAACAACATCATCACATCTTAGATTTCATAATTTTGTCACCCATCAGTCATACGAAAATATAATTCATTAATAAAAAATAAGATAAAATCTCTAAATTTTGTTGTCATCTAAAGTATTGCTCGGTAGGCTTTCTTCAAGCACTAACATTATTCATTAATAAATGCATTATTTGAAATTACAAAACATTTGGCATGAAGAGAACATCAAAACATGCAATTTTGCAAGATATTTACGTATAATCCGACTAACTATTTCATGATCAAATCACTTATGTAGATGATCTACAACAAAATAGTAACAGGATGTTGTGCACAACTCAACAATATAAAACCATCTACGACGCCAATAAGGGTTTATCAACAAAACTGCAACAATCCCTAAGAGCATAACTATGTAGGACACAACAAAACTGATATAGAAGACATTCATATCAATGAAATCATTGTCTTCTCCAATAATACTTGAATCTTTTGGTTGTGATTCAATTGCATTGCAACTTTTGGGCAATGGTTGTCCACAAAGAAATGGATTTCCCTCATAGCTACTTTCTTCAAAGGTTCCAAATTGTGCAATCCTATCAGGGAGTTTGCCTGATAAATTATTGTGTGCCACACTAAAAACAGCCAAATTATTTAACTCAACAAGCTGGGGAGGGATTTTCCCAATCAAATTGTTGTATGAAAGATCTAAACTCTCGATCTGCTTGAGATTTGAAAATGTCGATGGGATTGGTCCTGTCAAGTTGTTGTGAGAGAGGTTAAGTGTATGGATTCCGACAAGATTTCCAATTTGATAAGGAATCACACCAACTAACTTATTGTTGGAGAGATCAATTCCAGACATGTAGCTAAGAATTCTTCCTTGGTAAGAGTAAGATCTAGTCTTCGTTGTAAACTCTACAGTTTCTTCCTTTGTAAGAGGCACATTTTCAAGCTTTTCAAAAATAGCTACATAATCAGATGCAACAGTGACTGTTGTGATATTTAAACAATGAGGGATATGCCCAGAAAGCTTGTTGTGAGAAAGATCTATCAAACGTAATTGACTTAACTTACACAAACGAATCGGCACTTCACCTTGAAAATCGTTTTTACTCAAGATAAGGTAATTTAAATTCGAAAGTGTACCAATCCAATCGGGAATGTTGCTTTCAAAGTGATTATATCCAATATCTAGCGTTGTCAGAGAAGAACTATTGGATAATCCATCACTTAGTTCTCCCTGTAACTTATTTTTTGACAAATGAACTTGTTTAATTGAGGAAGGTGGAAAGCAAGACGGTAAACTCCCATTAATATTGTTCTCTGAAAGGTCTAATATTTCAAGACTTTCTAGTTGACAAAACTCCAATGGGATTGGACCTTCAAGATGATTCTTTGACATGATAATTTCCTCCAAAGATGACTGATTTCCTAACCACCTCGGTAATGTGCCAACAAGATGGTTACCACTTATATACAACCCTTCCAAGGAGCAATTGGACAAACCATCTGGGATCTTTCCAGTGAAATTATTGTTATCCAATTGTAAATATAACAAGCCTTTTAAGTTAAAATTTGCAGGGAATATCTGACCTTGCAAACTATTGTTTGACAATGCAAGGACTTTTAATGAGACGCAACCCATGGCCAAATGCTTAGGTATTCCTCCAGTCAACAAATTGTAAGACAGATCCAAATACCTTAACGACTTCATGTCACCAAACGAAGAGGGAATGCTACCATTTAAAGCATTTCTAGAAATGTTTAAAGTTTGTAGCATTGGTAGATAAGCTCCAAATTCCGTTGGAATATGCCCATGGAAGGAATTGATGGATATATCTAATGTTTGCAAAGACATGTGAGGATGAATTGGTAATTGCAAAGGCTCTAAAAGAGAATTATTAGCTAGAAAAAGCCTTTCGAGCTTGGTATTGTTGTTTAACAACCAAACTGGAAACTTTCCCTTCGAATTAAAGTCAGAGAGATCAACCACTTGTAAGTCATGCTGACTGTAGAGAAATTTGGGAAATGAACCATTATATCCACAATTGGATAATGAGATGTCATTTAATTGAAATTTTGGGGCCAGATATTGTGACTCAATTCCTGCATATATTTCATTACTATCACCATAGAACATCTTAAGCTTTGAGTGGTTAAAAAATGGTTCAAGGGAAACAGGGATTTGAAAATGATTGTCTGAAAGGCTTAATTCTTGGATGGATGTCAGCACCTTAAGGGGAGATAAGGAGATATTTCCGTAAAATTATTTGATGAGATATCTAGATATAGAAGGGAAGTCAAGTTTGCTAGAAACCAAGGCAAGGTACCCGTAAAATCATTGTATGAGATATCTAGATATTGAAGGGAAGTCAAGTTTGCAAGACAACAAGGCAAGGTGCCCGTTAAACCATTGTCCCACATGTATAAGTGCTGAAGATGAAGCATCTTACAAATTCCTGAAATAAAAAATGTTCCTTAATAGTTACTATATGAAGCACAAGGGTAATAATAGTCATGCAAATGTTACTTAATCAATATGCTTAATAATTATTGTAGTGCACAAATTTAATAAATATACTAGCTATGTGTGCTATTTCTTTTTTTTCTTTTTAATAGAATTATATACATAAATTATAAATTTTACTTGTAAGGAGAGAGAAAAGTTACTAACCTTTGTCAAATAGAGTGTCGCTGATGTTGAGGTTACTACTTGAAATTTCAATAAATTGAAGAGAAGTCATACCCTCAATCATTTGAAGAAAATTGTTGTTAAAAACAATGTTGTCAATAATTAAATTTGTCAGATTCTTGAACGAAGGCAACTCTGCAAAAGCACAAAAGTAATAAAATATTGTTCAATAATCTACACTAATTATTTTAATATTTTAAATTAGAAAAGAATATTCAATATGGTATAGGGACTAAACTAGAATAAAAATTCAGCAAGGTTAAATAAAATCGTAAATACAAATATATATGTATATTTCAAGGTTTTTAAAAGACTTTTGACAATTTCATGTGAGTACTTAATAATTGTAAGAGATCTTTGAGACATCTAAGACTTTACCGTCTTTTAAGTTGATCGTAAATCATAATCTTTCTTAATTAGTTTGATTTTGTTGCTTTAAACAAAAGGGTAATGTTGGTTGCAATTTCTTTTGTAATGTGTGGTTGGATATCCAGTAAAGAGGAGTCATACATTTTATCTAGTCTCCATCTTTCTTTGTTTCTTTAGTCTCAAAATCAACCTTTTTAGACTTTCTATGGGACCTCTCAAACTTTACCAAATCAAATAAACAATGCACCACTTTAAATTCTCAAAAAGGACATTTCAACTAAAATTTACATAATACGGCACTGCCCAGTAGCGGCTTGAAAAGCCCATGATTTTGGAAAATTGATTTGAGCTATAAGCACCTTGGCATTTTAGTGGACGGCCTCCTTGGAAAGTAAAACGGTTCTTTCTCATATCTCTTTCTTACATTTTCTTTCTACATTATATAAGATATTTTTCCTCATATTTTTTATGCATCGAATAATATATCTATGGGAGGCTCGTTACTTTTTTAATTAATAGATTTGGTACTTTAGTACAATAATAATGTTTATTTATGTACATGACATTATTAATTATTAATTATAAATTATAAATTTTACTTGTAAGGAGAAGGAGAATGAGAAGTTACTAACTTTGGTCAAATAGAGTGTCGTTGAAGCTGAGGTCACTATCCGAAATTTCAATAGATTGAAGAGAAGTCATACCCCCAATCATTTGAAGAAAGTTGTTGTAAAAAACCATGCCGAAAATAGTTAAATTTGTCAGATTCTTGAATGAAGGTAACTCTACAAAAGCACAAAAGTAATAAAATATTGTTCAATAATCTACACCAATTATTTTAATATTCTAAATTGGAAAAGAATATTCAATATGGTATAGGGACTAAACTAGAAAAAAAAAAAAAAAAATTCAGCAAGGTTAGATAAAATCTTAAATACAAATATGTATGTATATTTCAAAGTTTTAAAAAGGCTTTTGACAATTTCATGTGAGTATTTAAAAATTGTAAGAGATCTTTGAGACATCTGAGACTTTACGGTCTTTTAAGTTGATCATAAATCCTAATATTTCTTAATTAGTTTGATTTTGACATTTTGTTGCTTTTAACAGAAAGGTAATTTTGGTTACAATTTGCTTTGCAATTTCTTAAAGAGGAGTCCGTACTTTTTATTTAGTCTAAAAAACAAACAACACCTTTTTAGACTTTCATGGGACCACTTTATTCCCAAAAGGATATTTCAACTAAAATTTACCCATGAATTTTAGAACCAATTTCAATAAAATATTTTACTACTTTTATATCCTTATTTAAATATGATATAAGGGTTAACCTTAAAAAAAAAAAAAAAAAAAAAAAAAAAAAGGCTAAAAAGCATACTTTTATTTAATGCATCACGGCCAGTAGTGGCTTGAAAAGCCCATGATTTAGGAAAATTGATGGGGGCTCAAGCACCTTGGCAAATCAGATAGGGCCTCCTTAGAAAGTAAAACAGTTCTTTTTTCATATCTCTTTCTTATATTTTCTATTTGCAATATATAAGATATTTTTCCTCATATTTTATATGCATTGAATAATATATATATACTTCTTATGGGAGGCTTGTTACTTTTTTTATTAAAAGATTTGGTACTTTAGTGTAGTAATAATGTTTATAATTAAAAAATAACAATATATAAGACATTGTTATTTTTTTTATAAATTATAAATTTTACTTGTAAGGAGAAGTTACTAACCTTGGTCAAATAGAGTGTCGTTGATGCTGAGGTTACTATAATCAATTTCAATAGATTGAAGAGAAGTCATACCCCCAATCATTTGAAGAAAGTTGTTGTGAAAAACAGTATTATAAATATTTAAATCTGTCAGATTCTTGAACGAAGGCAACTCTACAAAAGCACAAAAGTAGATAAAATATTGTTCAATAATCTACACCAATTATTTGATATTCTAAATTGAAAAGGATATTCAATATGGTATAGGGGCTAACCTAGAAAAAAAATTCAGCAAGGTTAAATAAAATCTTAAATACAAAAATAAAAGAAGATAAAATTACATTAATAAAGAAAGAAGAGAAATAAAGTTGTATTAAATTAAATAAGTGTGAAAACAAGAAAATGTACATTTAAAGAGAAAAAGGTTAGACTAAAAAATAACTTTAATTAATACATCCTTAGTGTTTCGAAAAATAAATGATCTATAAATCAATTTTCAATTCATACAACTAATCAATTCTCATCAAATCCTTTAATAAAAAACAAAATTCAATTTTTTTTTCATTTTATTTTGTGGAAATTGTAAATAATATGGAATGAATCCTAAAAATTGTCTTTTGTCAATGAATGCATTAGACTAGAGTTTTAATTCCACTTTTCAGTTTTCTTGATCATTATTTACAAATTATGCAAACTTTTAGGTGACATAAATGCTCCAATGCTTCGAAGAAAGTTTATATGGAAAGTAGAATAATAGAAGATGAAGTCTACTACTATGTTGAAAAGGCAGAATAAATTTTAGGAAAGTTATTGTGTAATTATGACAATAATTTAGAGGCAAAACAAATTAATGTACTTATTTTCAATATTATTGTAACTTACCGTTAGTAGTAACTGCTCCACTAAAGTTGTTATACTCGAATTCAAGAGACTTTAGGGATGGGAATAAGCCCAATGTCTGTAAGAGACTGCTTCCATCACTAATGCTCACATTTCTTAGACTAAACCAAGTCAACTTCCTCAAACTTGTTTCACCTGTGTGTTTGTGAAAGTATTCCAACACAGATATTTTCAATGCTTTCTCATATTGAAAAATAAAGTTCTTTAAATTTATTTGATTTAATAATTAGAATAAAAATACCTAGTACGTGTGTGCTATTGTGTGTCTTATAAAGCAGAGCAATATTGGTAAGGGATAAGAAATGTAAGTTTAAATATCATTAACCATCAATAAATACCTTTGGAGAATACAATTTTTTTAATCTCATTTCCGCCCATGTACAACTCCTCTAAGTTGCTCAATGAGTCCAATTCTGGCAAGAGTTAAAACAGAGAGATTAAAACTAATAAAAAAGCATTTAAGAAGACTTTTAATTTCGTTGAAGGCAATGAGAAAGTCTTTTAATGATGAAAGACCAACTAGAGATATGATAAGATACTATTAAAACATTTTTATCATCAACACTTAATTAAAAACTTTCCTTAAGCCAACATTAATTACTTCTAGATATCCCTAGCCTTCAATATTGTCTTCCTAAATGAATATAAGTTTTATCCCTTTTGGCAAATCTCATTTCTGCTAACTACTCTACCTTCTTTGTGTTGGTCAAAGAGTTTAATTATAAAGTCAGCTAAAACCATGAGAAAATGAAGAAGATGTTTGGACTGAGTAAACTAAAGTTTCCGAAAGAACCTTATTTAGAGCTTTTAATTTACTTGACAAAGCAAAGAGAGAGAAAGAGTCTTCAATACAAAATAAATTGTTATACATGAGAGAAATTAAAGATGAGAAGCAAGCTTACCTTGAAGATCAACAATGCCTTTCAATCCAATGTCATGCACAGATAGTCTCGTTAATGATGAGAGAGTAGACACATATGATAATATGCTATTGTTGAACATGTTACTGCTTAAGCTCAAAGACTCCAANAGCTAAAACCATGAGAAAATGAAGAAGATGTTTGGACTGAGTAAACTAAAGTTTCCGAAAGAATCTTATTTAGAGCTTTTAATTTACTTGATTGCAATATCTCCAACTCTAGTTTGACAAAGCAAAGAGAGAGAAAGAGCCTTCAATACAAAATAAATTTTTATACATGAGAGAAATTAAAGATGAGAAGCAAGCTTACCTTGAAGATCAACAATGCCTTTCAATCCAATGTCATCCACAGATAGTCTCGTTAATGATGAGAGAGTAGACACATATGATAATATGCTATTGTTGAACATGTTACTGCTTAAGCTCAAAGACTCCAAGTTACTCAACCTTGAAACTGAAATCAGTCCAATAATAATAGTAATAATAATAACCGCACATAGTTTTGTGTATCAATCTAAATATAAAAATGATAATAAAAGTTATGTCATTTAAAAGAACATTACCATTAAAATGGTTTAGTTCTCTAAACCGATTATAATGTAGACTTAAATTCTTGAGAGATGAATGTTGGCTCAAACCTGATAAAACGTGGCTGTCATTGAACATATTGTTGCTAAGGTCGAGATCCATGAGATTAGTCAAGTGTGATAATCTTTCAAAACCTACAAGCAATTCTTGTTAATAAAGACATGGAAGTAAAATTTCATTATTTAAAAGTGAGGATGGAAAAAACTTCGTTCTCAACGCAACCGGCTATGAGATTGTAACTTAAGTCAAGTCTCTCCAATTCTTGGAAGGGAGAAAACAAAGAAACATTTAGATACCACTCTCCTAATTCTAGATTTCTTGTAGCTCCAAGAAAAAGAGTGATCACTCTACCCGTTGTGTTATTGCAAATAACACTTTCCCAATCACAACAGTTTGAATTTCCATTTCCCTCAAACCAATTTTGAAGACTGTTAGGATCATTGAAGAAATGTTTAAGTTGCAAGAGAGCAGATCTCTCTTGCTTCAAACACCCTTCAATCCTCCATGCTTGTAAAGAAATAAATATCAAAATCAACATCAACCACATCCTCACACATTTTAACCCCATCTCTTAATAACACACTAATGGCGTTGCTTCTATGACTACTAAGGGATTAGCTTTGTGCTATTTATAATATTATTGGATCTCAATATTGTATAGACTAAAAACATAGAAGTATTGCCTTTTCAGTGAACAACTTCGTTTGCTGTAGGACATAAAAGAGATCAATAAGGGCAAAATTAATGCTGGTCCCCACTGTTGTGGAAGGAAAATTCCCATTGACTGCAACTAGCTTGGAAAAATCAAATTACGTGGTTTGAGATTGCTTCCATTACATGGTTTGAGACTGCTTCCTCTACCATATCTAACAACTTCATTTGCTGTAGGACATAGAAGAGGTCAATAAAGGCAAAATTAATGCTGGCCCCCACTGTTGTGGAAGGAAAATTCCCATTGACTGCAACTAGCTTGGAAAAATCAAATTACGCGGTTTGAGACTGCTTCCTCTACAGTAACTAATTTAATTAGTAATATTATATTGTTAAATAAATTATATAAAACATTTTATTTTTATATTGTCATATAGTGTGTTGTTGTTTAGTGAATCAATTTCTTTATACTTAATAATTTTAATTTATATACATCTAGATAGTATATATGAAAAGGCATGGGCACATAACCACTTTTGAAATGAAGTTAATTTTTAACCAATTTTGAAGATAAATTACAAAAACAATACTTCATAATATTTTTTATGAGTCAAGGTCAACCAAAGTAACAAGTTTCTTAGAAAACCTCTATACATTATTGCTAGAAATCTTTTTCTACCTAATTGTTTTCTTCAATTATAATTGATGAACAATTCAATTTAGGTTTTTAATCCTATTACATTGGACAGATTAGTATTCATGAGATAGATCGCTGCTTTTTTCCAAAGATTTATTATAAGTTTATATCCTTGTTTCCATTGTGTATGAAGTAAGCTCAAATTATCTTATTCCCTCTTACTTAATTTTATTGTTTTTTGTTCTTGGAGGTATTAGCTCTTACAATTTTCAATTTCTAAATGGTTTTTTATTCTTGTACGACCAAGTTGTGGAAAAAATGTTTAAGTTGTGGAAAAACCAATTGTCACGGTCATAACATCTATTTTATGAAGACTTACTCAAATACCATTGACTCTTGAAACTTGATGCAATTTCCATACTTGATTTTCCATAACATCATAAAACAAGCACAGTTGCAACCACATGCATGCTTGCCAGAAATGTAGCCTCAGTAGTATTCTTTGCCTTTAAAGCCAGCTGCCATCACAGGACCAAGAATGCCACCATCATTTAGGTCATGAGACCCGAGTCCATCACCCTCTACTGCCAAACAGCGAAGCACAACCTCGATGCAGTAATTGTTGCTCGATGAAATAGAAACATTCACCTGAACATAAAAATTTAATCACAGACAAAGGAAAATATATCATAGAGTGGACTTCCAGAAACATTGATACGTAACCAATAAAAATAAAAATAAACATTCACTGTGCTACAGAGTACTTGTCGAACTCCACTCCTGCAAGTCTTCCGACAACAAGATGGTCTTTTTTCCATTCTTGCCCTCTTTAAGGTTCATGTGTGACTATTAAAAATATGAATTTAAGCCCCGTGACTATAGTTCTCCAACAATACCACTCATGTATTATCCTAGCGACAAAGACACACAAGAAAGGCTACTGGGTAGAAGAAATAAAAGATTAGATAACTAAAAGAAGATCCTATTCTTAACATATTTTCAAACATGCCATATTTTAAAAATTCTACATCTCTTTCTCTCCCTTAATCTTCTCATTAAATTATTTTCCTATTATTTTCTCTAGAATACTTACTTAAGGGCAAAATTAGTGTTGGCCTCCACTGTTGTGGAAGGAAAATTCCCATTGACTGCAATTAGCTTAGAAAAATCAAATTGCTCAGTTTGAGACTGCTTGCTCTACCGTAACTAATTTAATTAACTAATTTTATTTTTATATTGTCATATAGTGTGTTGTTCAATGAATCAATTTCTTCATACTTAAATTTTAATTTATATACATCCAGATAATATACATGAAAAGGTATAGGTGCATAACCACTTTTGAAATGAAGTTAATTATTAATCATTTTTAAAGATAAATTACAAAAACAATACTTGGTAATATTTTTTATGAGTCAAGGTCAACCAAAGTAACAAGTTTCTTATAATGTTCTCAAAGAAACATATCTGTACAAAG